GTGACGTCGGAGTGAGGGCCTGCCTGCTTTCCTCTCGTGACGTTTGGGAGCATGTTCAATGAAGGCAAAGGCTATGCCCAACTTCGAGGACAGGGGGCCATGTGTGTGGAAAGCCTCTGCCAGCCTCCCTCTGCAGCCTCCCCTGCTTCCTGGGCCTGTTGTCTGAACCTACTCTGGGGCGGCCCAGGGCCAGAGAACACAGAACCAACCGGCAAGTCCCCCCCAGCCCAGTGGGCTCCAGGGGCAGAAACCCCAGGGAGGAGGTGTGCTCTCTCCTGGTTTGCTCTATGGCATTATTTTTTTCTGAAAGTAAAATCCACATAGCGACATCACCACTCTGACCTTCCCGAGCGTGCACTCAGTGGCCCTCCCGCACACGCATGTGGCCGAGCTCCGCACACCACCTTCACGTCTGCCCCAAGCCTACATTGGTGTCTGAGGTGCCGCCCTCCTGCGCAGTGTGCCACTCCCAGCGGTTCCTGTTCGGGTCACTTGGACCTGCCCCTTGGCCACTCAGGGTCTTGATTTTCAAAGGTGCGGGTTAGCAGGTCAGTGTTCCAGGAGTCCCCAGGAGGCTGGGGAGCACCTCAAGCACCCGGGCCTTCCCAGGACTCAGGGCCATGCTGTTGACTTTCGTGGGTGACTCTGGCCTCCTCGACTGGGATCAGAAATCTGCGTGGTTCACTTAGCCGGTCTGGCTCCCTCCTCGGCACACCCCCTCCCCTGCACAGACCATCCCGGGGACACAGGAGCTCATCTCTTCCTGCTGGTCCAGCTGGAAAACCGACCAGCGCTTCGTTCCCCCCCAAGGTTTCCAACCAAGGCCAGATGTCGCGTTGACCCCGAATCTTTCCTTTCCAACAGGACCCAACTTTCTCTGTCCTTACCTGGTCACACTGCACGAGGGACCGCCGGGTTCTGAGATGTCTGAGCTGCCTTGTCCTGGGGGCGGGCTGGGGTGGGGAGGGCCGGGGTGTCTTCTCTGCATGGGGTGCACGGGCCCAGCCCCATTCCCCTCGCGCGCTCGTCAATGCTTGGCGTCCGTTGCTGCTGTGTCTCCTCTCTCTGTGTCACCTCTGCTGTTCCGTTGTTAAAGGCTGTCTATGATCTGTCGCTGTTTTCCCTCTAGTCAGGAGTGGCAGGAAAGGACGCCGGCGAGTGTTCAGCCTGTCGGAGGCCGACAGTCACGGCGGCCACTGGGTTTAGTGCTTCGAACGGCAGCTGGCGCGGGGAACTCCGCCCACGCCACTC